TCCAGATGCACCAGCAGGTGATGCTCCACAATCAAGATGCACCACCAGGTGATGCTGTACAATCCAGATGCACCAGCAGGTGATGCTCCACCATCCAGATGCACCAGCAGGTGTTGCTCCACAATCAAGATGCACCACCAGGTGTTGCTCCACAATCCAGATGCACCACCAGGTGATGCTCCACAATCAAGATGCACCACCAGGTGTTGCTCCACAATCCAGATGCACCACCAGGTGATGCTCCACAATCCAGATGCACCACCAGGTGATGCTCCACAATCCAGATGCACCACCAGGTGTTGCTCCACAATCCAGATGCACCACCAGGTGATGCTCCACAATCAAGATGCACCACCAGGTGTTGCTCCACAATCAAGATGCACCACCAGGTGTTGCTCCACAATCCAGATGCACCACCAGGTGATGCTCCACAATACAGATGCACCACCAGGTGTCACTGTACAGGAGATTATATTACTAGGAAGCCCAGGAGATACATAGTAACCATGTGCCCTAATATGTCACATACAAACATTATGCTAAATAAATCATCAACAATTCCTGATAGTGGAGAGAAGTAAACAAATCATGAACAAAGCAACGCAACATAACAACAACTGTATATATACCAGCAGCATGGGCTGCTTTCCTGCAAGCTATCTCTGTACAAGGAACAAAATGTTGGTGATTCAATGTCAGATGTTAAACTTTATGATCAACTTGAAGTGTAATGTTTGGAGACAATTACTTCTATCTGTGGTGCATGACAGAGCACGATGGACACAAGGACATTCTTTCAACTAACCATGATTACAAACGAGATGGATGACAACCTAGCAAAACATGCAACTCTTATTAATCACATCATAATAAAGAAATATCAAATATATTATTTTTTTTCACTTCAATTTTCTACAATCAACAATGCTTGGAAACGCGTCTCCAAGAAAACATATATAAAAAGTCAAAAGAGTTCATTACAAAAATAAACATAAGTTTCTTCAGCTGAACCCAACTGAGCAGTGATGGGGGATGTACAATGGGCAAATGGCACCTGGAGAATTCGGTAAGGCATATTATGGAATTCTCTATGTTACAGCAGGTATGGATTACAAGCTGAGGTCTAAGGATATTGATTACAAGCTAAGGTTAAAGGATATGGATTTCAAGCCAAGGTTTATGATATGGATTTCAAGCGAAAGCAACAAATGCAAAAGATATACAAATGGTTGTTAGGTAAATACAATGCAAAAAGCAACAATGTCCAAATACTGAGGATATGGAGTGGAAATACATCGGGACTTGGCAACGTGCTCAGGTAAGCTGCACCATCACAGGATGACAAAGCATGAGAACTGAATGATACCTGGCCAGTTCACTGTCCGTCCACCATATAATAGGGATCATTGCAGTAAAAATAAAAATGTATGCTAATTCTGCAAATCTGAAAAATCATTTTTCAGGAGGGGCTGGGCTTTTGTATTGAGATTAGATCAAGATTTCATATTTTTTCAGCTACGGCTACAAAACCAGATATTTTTTTATTTAAAACTATGAGCCAGAATGTTTTAAAAAGAAAAACACCTTGCATCAATTTGTAATTTTTGTGGCAGACAATTTTGTTTTTTTCACCATTTTAAAGCAATTATTTTTTCATCAATTTTCAGGGACAATATATTTTTGAGGATAAAATCCCAGGCAACCCCCAGAAGATCAAACAACGCTGATCCATCATGTGAGATACCAAGTATACTTAAATGTATCAAATAAATGAAGGTAGACATTCCAATACTTTCTAAACCTTTTAATGGATGTCACATTATATATTGTAAACCTGACGTATCTGACAGTACTGGATAAATTTACCAGTGGAACACAGTCTCAGCTATTGGTCAGGAAATGCAAATCTAAGCCTTTTTGAAAGAAAAACACACACTATTAAAATGAAGAAAATATAATATGATCGCTGTAATCAAATTAGAAAAGTGAAGAACATATCCCCAGTTGTCTACTCATTGTTCTTGGTCTAGTAACATAAGCAAGGCATCCCAGACGGTTAGACTACTTTTACAAGCTTCCACAGTGCTAGTTAGGGTGAGATTGGCTTAACATTCTTTAAAAATATATCTGATATATTACAGCTAGCCAGTTTAGTGCTTAAACTTTGGTATGTAGCTTACAAGCCAAGGATCCTAACCAGTGCTGGTGTAGCTACCCTGTTTCGGTACCCCATATCGTGTTCTTGTGAACTCAACCGAGGACAATCTCCTTACCCTCATCATTACCCAGGAGGGGGGGGGGGGGGGGGGGGAGGAGGAGGAGGAGGAGAGAGAGAGAGAGAGAGAGAGAGAGAGGGGGGGAGAGAGAGAGTTAATACACTGTAAACAAACCTAGTTGCCACTAGGGTCAACTTACATGCAGGATCTTTGATTTTATTCTTGAAATATGTGTTTTTGACATTTTTTCATGCAGCACTGAATACAGTTTCTACATGGTTATTGAGACTGTATATTGAATTAGATACAGAGGGATGTGTGCCATGTTCTGTCAAGATGCAAATGAAGGGAACGAATTACTCCAAGTGTTAAAATAAAGAAATAATTCTTGGATGAATTTGTGAGGGGTTGAACAGACTTGAGGCTTATCCCCAGCCACAGAGGCTGGTCCGAAGCAAATGATACATGACATACTTATCATCTGTATGATGCCTGCTGCATGTCCATGGATCACTACTCGGGACAGAAGGGGGACTGGATGGCTAATGCTGTTGTTTGCTGACAGCATGATAAAGCTGATATGTGGTGGGATAATACTTTCTATACAACTACCCATCATCATAATACTTTCAGACCAATTAAAAAGAAAAATGGTTTGAATTCACTCACTAAAGTTGGTGTATCAGCTGCAAACACGAACGATAAAACAACATGCCTGCACACAGCCTTACTCCTCTGTGGGATGAGTCCTCTATAGACGAGGTGTGACAGACACTGTGTGCACTCAAGGGAGGTAACTCTCAACGTCTAGGGGGAGTGTTGTGTAACTGAGGGTCAGACCCTTGAAGGAACCAAGCCAAGGGATTTCTCCATACCAAATATAACATGAACAGTTCTCAAAATTGGCGTGCATATATTTTACATAAAACTAATATCTTTCACAATGAATTGCAGCTGATTAAAAATCAAAATATTTTCTTCTTTTATTTATGTTAAGAAAGAATTTCTCATTACCAAACATAATATGAAAAGATTCACAGCTACTTTTCGCATGTGATGTCTAATTACATTTAAGAGAGAATTCCTGATCTCTGAAGGAAACAATTCCTAACTAAGTGTTGACAACCTATGTATTGTGTGAAGAAGGCACCTTAATATAGTTAATATTGGCTGTTCTTGTATACAGCTGGACTTTACAAGGACAAAGCACCACGGTCTGGGAACAATTTAAACCTCCCCTACAGACATCGTAATAAGTGCAATGTGTGAAACTGGAACATAGTCTCTGTGTGATTAAAGTAATCCCTAGCCTCTTGACTAATACACATCATACATAGTGGAGTAAGGAGTCAAAGCTTCCTGGGACCTCTAACCAGCCTTGCCATCCCTTATAGGGTGTGTGTGTGGTGTGTGTGAGGTGTGGTGTGTGAGGTGTGTGTGTTGTGTGTGTGAGAGAGGTGTGTTGTGTGTGTGGTGTGGTGTGTGTGAGATGTGGTGTGTGTTGTGTGTGTGAGATGTGTTGTGTGTGTGTTGTGTGTGTGTGAGATGTGGTGTGTGTGTGTTGTGTGTGTGTGTGTGTGTGTGTGTGGTGTGTGAGTGGTGTGTGTGGTGTGTGGGGTACTGGATCCACCCTCTACCTGTCCTTGCCCAGTTCCCAATCACACACTCCCTGTAAACTCACTGACGGTATCCTCCTTGAGACACGTTCACACTCACAGAAGCTAAAGGGTTAATGGAAAACACAAACAGCAAACTGTCTTGAAGAATATCTGATGCAACACAAAATAAACATTGTTTGTGTAATACGCCGCTGAAACACATATAGAAAAATAGGACATGAATGACACAGTTTCACAATTACGCAAAGGTTGGCTTTTATCTGTACACAAATCTGTACAATGGATTTCTTTCTGTACATATGTAAGCTGATAAAAGCAGCTTATAATTTAAAAATAACTTAAAAACAATCATCTTTCATATGCTTGCAAGCCTCCGATGTGAACACGTTCCCCTCTGATTCCCTTAAAGACGTACACGATAGTTTTACGCAGGAACGCTTCCCGCCCTTGTCGTTAGTCCTTCACATTCAGTTTCCCTTGTGTTCAAGTTAAAGGGTTTCAATGCATTTCATTTCTGAAATTATACCACATAATTTCAATTTGACCTTAGGAGAGCAGATTAATTATGAAAAGTTTCAAGTTTCCCGTGTTTATCAATCAGTTCCCACTTTGCCTCTTTATATATGTACATACATACAAACAAAAAAATAATGATTATGAACAGAAATAAATAAGGCTGTTGACTCAGTGTGGCCAGAATAGCTAGATCCATCATGACTCCCTAACTTACCTATTTCTTTACAGACGAGGACAGGCCGTTATATACTCGGGTAACATAACAAGGTTATAAAGCCTGGGTATATCAACATGCACAACAACGTTATTTAGCTTGCCATATATACCAAAGCAGTATATAGCAACACTGTATACCTAGGCGATATAGCAATGTAATATCCTTTGCACACGGTTGTTATAACATGGCAAAACGTGACTCAGTCTATATGTCAATACACCCATGCAGTTGACAAGATGAAATCCAGTCGTTCAGGTCATGAGACCCAGGTATATATCCTGATATACACTGCTAACTGCTGGGTGGGTTATAAATTCTAAGAATCACTGCTAACTGGGTGGGTAATCATTGGTGACAACAGGCTGAAATTATGTTCAACATTTTAACAAATTTGCAAAATGGTATGACTGAAATCCAAATTGTTTATCACAATGATGAAATCCTGAATATTACCCTGTCTGATGTTGGGAGGTGAGGTACATGCAGTTGTGCGCCCTCAAATGTGGGGAAATCTATCTATATTGGCCTACAAGTCAAAGCCAGTCTCAATACTATCACCGGCTATTTGAAACCAACCATAGTGGTAACCATGGCACCAGGAGACATGATTGCTCACATGCTGTGGTGACATCTTCAATGTAGAAATATAGCAACTCAAACATATAGAATTATATATGCCAATAAATATCTAAAATAATCTATGAAGATATCGTTAACAACTGGATGGTTCAATGTCTTCTATGTTCCATCATCCATTAGATGACACCTCTTGATCATGAATGAAAATGACAAAAAAATAATCTTAAAATATGAGTCTCAAGACTCTAGCATGAATTCTTGACATATTTTACACAATACTCATAATCTCCAGTGAGAAGTGTTGCTGATTTAAAATCAACATACTTTACTCAATGGTTTATGCTAAGAAATTGATGATGATGATGATGACGACTATGATGACGACGATGATGATGATGATAATGATAATGATGACTAAAAAGCTCAAATAAGTCACGCGTTCATCACCTACAACTTTCAGCCATGTACATCCGTAAAAAAAGTAGTCCATGGACACTGTGGCCCATGACAACACAGGGCTGTGTCCACATTGTCTTAAGTGTCACACACACCGTCCATTCTAACACATGCCACGGAGTTATCATGAGGCTTCAAGTGTTCAAGAGACAAACAATGCAGTCGCTTTTATGCGCATGCTGACACAATCAAACAACAATGTATTTTAGGAGCCATACAGGTTGTGATGACAATTCATGCACTAGCTGTATTGTTGTTGGGCTAAGCAAGCACCTGCACACATGGTCATGACACTTCTGTTATTTGCTACTTTCTTGTCCCTTCAATCACTCCGAAGCTTGTTACTTCAACCAATCGATATCTTGTTGCTGCTTGAATCACTCACTATTGGCTGTTATTTCAATCGATAACTATCTTGTTACATCAATCACTGTTTTGTAGTATGCTAATCAAGCATCTCCAGATTGAATCTAGTCTGCTACTGGGAAGATCCAGCACCTTTGTCTGTAATCTACAGGCTGTGTCTAGAGTCTGTACGGCATGCCACATTCACCGCGAAAACACTGCTATTATGTCACACTCAACATTCCGTTCCTGCTGCCTGCAAGTCTGTTGTAGCATCTAAGTGCAGATCTAGAAGGCTCTTCCGTCAATGCAACTGGAATCTGATGTCTCCATGTACAGATCTAGATTCTAAAGATGCTTCAAACAATGCACTAGATTCTGTTGTATATCCACATAAAGATCAATATTCCAAATAATACTTCAATCAAGGCTGAACATCATGGTGTGGATTACCACAATTACATCCCTTATGTCCCAAGAACCATGTCCCGAGAACCGTGTCCCGAGAACCGTGTCCCGAGAAATGTGTCCCGAGAACCATGTCCCAAGAACAGTGTCCCGAGAACCGTGTCCCGAGAACTGTGTCCCGAGAACACTGTCCCGAGAGCCGTGTCCCGAGAACTGTGTCCTGATCCCAAGCCAGCTGTACACAGTGTACGAAACAGTCACAACATATTTCTTCTCCAAACATCATTTGTTGAACAGCTCAACTTGATCCAGAGACGTTCCATGTCAGTTTTGGGCGTCTTTCTGGGACGCTTTTATCTGGTCCATACATAGATACAGTGGTGATGTCCCAGAACGAAACAGGCATACATCCTCATCAACACACACACTGTATAAAGCACTTATTGTTTCCTCAATTGACGGCAACCAACAACAATAACAATCTATTTGTCTAAATATTGAAAGAAAAATAACGTCATAAGAACGATTCATATATAAATAGGATCTTTCGTAAATGTTACAGGTCAGTTCTGTTGTTTATCAAACCTGAGCCCACACAACACAGACGGAACAGAACTTCAAGAAATCAGAATCACTTAAAGCTCTCAGACTCGGAAGGCCACAGCAACAGTAAGCAAATTATTAAAGAATTATTTTCAAATGAGAAAATTAGCACCATTTATAATGCAGCCATGCCATTTTTCAGCATAAAATCCATTGATTGACATAATTCATCCTGTAAGACGGACAAATTGAAATCCTCTTCGTTAACGTACAATGGTTTCCAGGAGCACAACTCTATCACATCTTCACCGTAGGATCCATGCACACACTGAGTATTTGAATCATTCTCAGCCTTTCAGTGTTGGAGGTGCCAACAGTTTGGTGTTTGGTCTTCAACATGATCCAGCCTTAACAAATTAGCAGCAGAGCCTTGAGACAAAAATCAAATGTTCTTGGAAGGATGGTTTTGTAGGTCAACATATTCGAGGTCTTCATGAAGAGTTACCAACAGGCTTCCAGACATGATTGTCATAACTGCATTCCCTTCTTGCACACAACATTTTGGTGTAATAAATACTAGTTATAGTACAAATGCCTTGCCATGACAGCCTAGTCTTGCAGTTGGCCATAGTGCAAAAGTCGTGCAGACAAGATTAATGTATAGTGAAAGCTGGAAGGATGGTTTTGTATTTGATTGGTGGAAGGTTCTAAGGTAATCCAGGAGATTCTGCACAAGCTGGTACCTGTTACTTGGATGGATTTGAGACCTGCGGTTATATTGGCATGTGGACCTGGTGATAAAAGTCAGGTTCATCCTCGTCATCATCAGACTCGTCCTCTTCTTTGTCCAACTAGAAGAAATAAAGAGAAAAAGGATTTGTTTTGGCTGAAAACTCCCTGTGAGTGAGTGAGTGAGTGAGTGAGTGAGTGAGTGAGTGAGTGTGTGAGTGAGTGAGTGTGACATTACAGCAATACTTATATCAGTGATACACGATAGGGCTTCTCGCATGAAACACATCCTCCCGTGGCAAGGGTTTCCACCCTTGCCGAACTAGACTGGAGTTCCTGGGCTCGACCGTAGTGCCATCAGTTACAACTTATGTCCCTTCTATGTCCCTCCTATTGACCAATCAAATTCCACCTCTCGTATCACTTGCATTTGCTTTAAATAAAATGGCGTTGCTCAGTGAAGACGATCTGATAGATAATCAAGATCTATATTGTAACAAAAAGGGTTTTACTTCGCAAGGTGTATCAAATCATGTGAACACCTTGATTAAAATCATGAAAAGATCATGAAAATATCTGTTGTCGCTTAGTTGACGGTAAACATGCTTTGCAAATCCTGCAATCGACTGAAATCTGTATGGTCGTTTACAAACCAGACGTCGATTTAATTACGCGATTTTGGTTGGATTATGCATTGACTCATTAGTCCAGCCAAAATATAACTCCATAATTCCAGCCTAGTTCAGTAAGTGTGGAAATAGGAAGATGACTGGAACAATGATAATCCTACTGTATTTTAATTTGTGAATTTGAATTTGTCTCACAGTAGATTGGAAACCTATTATTGTTAATTTGAAACCAAAATGTTTTTTATGAATCGATATGTTGGTTATTGATGTATTCATATGCACATTTTTTAGTGAAAAGGCTTTACTTAGGGGTATAAAATGGAAATTTAACCAATAAGAATAAAAAGATTCTTCAATGTCAAGCCAGAAGGCACAATAGAGAGGCATACCTCGTGCAGCTCCTGTTTGGTAAAGAAACGGCTCATGATCTGTAGTCGCAGTGGTATCAGCAACAGAAGGACGAACGGGAACGCCAGAGCACCCTGAGTGGACTTGATGACCCACAAGATGACCAGGCACACCAGCTGGATCACTGTGAAGATGTGCATCTTCAGAGTCCGCACCTAGAACACACAGCAATAGTTACACCGTCAGTCTCCATCATAGAGTCTGCACCTAGAACACACAGCAATAGTTAAACCATCAGTCTCCATCACAGAGTCTGCACCTAGAACAAACAGCAATAGATACACCATCAGTCTCCATCACAGAGTCTGCACCTAGAACACACAGCAATAGTTACACCATCAGTCTCCATCACAGAGTCTGCACATGGAACACACAGCAATAGTTACACCATCAGTCTCCATCACAGAGTCTGCACCTAGAACACACAGCAATAGTTACACCGTCAGTCTCCATCACAGAGTCTGCACCTAGAACACACAGCAATAGTTACACCATCAGTCTCCATCACAGAGTCTGCACCTAGAACACACAGCAATAGTTACACCATCAGTCTCCATCACAGAGTCCGCACCTAGAACACACAGCAATAGTTACACCATCAGTCTCCATCACAGAGTCTGCACATGGAACACACAGCAATAGATACACCGTCAGTCTCCATCACAGAGTCTGCACCTAGAACACACAGCAACAATTAAACCATCATCCATCATCGTGAACAAGACCTTTCAATCATTCCAATCCTTGCACACACAACTCTGCTGCTACTGTTCTTTCATCTCCTTCAATAGGAACCCGTCTTGCTACAAATGGCCTGATGAACTCACCCTGCGTTCAGGAACACGTCTTGCTACAAATGGCCTGATGTACTCACCCTGCGTACAGGAACACGTCTTGCTACAAATGGCCAGATGTACTCACCCTGCGTACAAAGCCGAACTCTGGATGATGTTTGACTGGCATAAGGAGCAGTTTGATCCTCTGGAAGAACTGCACTCCATTCAGCGAGGACACCCCCAGATACAGGAACACCCCAAACAGGACAGCCACCGGGATTGCTCGCAGCAGAGGGCCCATGAACAGGGTGACACCTACAATCATACAAGACAGGTACAGTGAGGACACCCCCAGATACAGAACACCCCAAACAGGACGGCCACCGGGATTGCTCGCAGCAGAGGGCCCATGAACAGGGTGACACCTACAATCATACAAGACAGGTACAGTGAGGACACCCCCAGATACAGAACACCCCAAACAGGACGGCCACCGGGATTGCTCGCAGCAGAGGGCCCACGAACAGGGTGACACCTACAATCATACAAGACAGGTACAGTGAGGACACCCCCAGATACAGAACACCCCAAACAGGACGGCCACCGGGATTGCTCGCAGCAGAGGGCCCATGAACAGGGTTACACCTACAATCATACAAGACAGGTACAGTGAGGACACCCCCAGATACAGAACACCCCAAACAGGACGGCCACCGGGATTGCTCGCAGCAGAGGGCCCATGAACAGGGTTACACCTACAATCATACAAGACAGGTACAGTGAGGACACCCCCAGATACAGAACACCCCAAACAGGACGGCCACCGGGATTGCTCGCAGCAGAGGGCCCACGAACAGGGTGACACCTACAATCATACAAGACAGATACAGTGAGGACACCCCCAGATACAGAACACCCCAAACAGGACGGCCACCGGGATTGCTCGCAGCAGAGGGCCCACGAACAGGGTGACACCTACAATCATACAAGACAGGTACAGTGAGGACACTCATTAGGCTTAAAAAAGTAAAAGAACTGGTTCTCAAGCACTGTTTTTTTTAAAATATAGTGCATGCTATAGGGCCTTTTTTGTTGTTGTTGTTGTTATTTGTGTTGTTGTTGTCAAGTTGTCCAGTTGTGTCCAACCAACCTGGGAAAGGGATGCCCTACATAAATGTACTGGAATACAGTATTTGACGGCCCATTGGACTACCAGTGCGTGTAAAAAACACACATACAATGAGTTCCATCTTATTTCACATCTTGAACACACAATACCAGAAGAAGCATGTCAACAAATCTGTACTGAAGGTTTTGTGTTCGAGACGTGGTACGGTACATGTATATCTAAGCATTTTTGTTTTCTGGAAAATGAAAACAAAAACGAAATGTTGCGGCGGACTTGTGATTATGCAGCGGTGTCCATGACTATTTTTTTAAAATTTAATTTGATCATGAAAATTGAAAAACGTGCCAGATTTGTACGTATTTTGTGACACAATTTTCAACTTAAAGGCCTTTCCACAATCCTGACATCCACACTGCACATATGTGTTAATTCAGCACCACTGGAAGCACTCATACAATCAACAACATCAACACTGCACCTGTATGTTAATTCAACTCCACTGGAAGCACTCATACAATCAACAACACCCATCCTGCCATGCTCACCTATGAGTAAGCTGACCATGACATTAGTCAGCCTCTGCTCAATGACATACAGCAGCTTGGGCTTCTCTCCGGGGGCGTGTGTTCGAGAGAAGACGCTGAGGGCGGAGGTGTGAGCCACGGTGCGGACGGTGGCAGCACACATCCAGGGTAGACCCAGCAGGCCGCACACAAATGTCAGCACTCCCATGATAAATTGATCCAAGTGGAAACCACTCCCCTTCCGCAGCCTTCGATCTTTCTTGTTAAGGATGACCCTATAAATTGTGAACATTATTTGAGAAACATTTCTAACGCAAACAATAGGAACAGCTTGTACAGGTATTCGGAAATGTATAAAGTGAGTTTCATGTTCGGGGGTATCTTCCACCTATGCTGTATCACCTGATAATAACTGCATGTTTCCCGCTATTCAAAGAGCACAGTTTTGGATATAACATTAAATGACACCTCAGAAAATGAAATACAATCAATTCTATTTTACAGAATCAAGGATTACATATAAGTAAGTTTCAAGTTTCACGTGTACATAATTGAATTATCTTCAAATACAATATGACTACATAATAAATTTAAGAGATTGAAAGGTGACATTTTTAGACATTTTAGGTCAATACACTTAGGACTGTGTGTAGCCAGTGTGTAGCCTGTGTGTAAACTGTGTATAGCAAGTGTATAGCCAGAATTAAGCCTGTGTATAGCCTATGCAGAGCCAGTGTGTAGCCAGAGTGTAGCCATTGTGCAGCAAGTGCGTAGCCTGTGTGCAGCCAATGTGTAGCTTGTGTGTAGCTTGTGTGTATAGTCTGTGTGTAGCTTGTGTGTATAGTCTGTGTGTGTAGCCTGTGTGTAGCTTGTGTGTATAGCCTGTGTGTATAGCCTGTGTGTATAGTCTGTGTGTAGCCTGTGTGTAGCTTGTGTGTATAGTCTGTGTGTATAGCCTGTGTGTAGCTTGTGTGTATAGTCTGTGTGCAGCCAGTGTGTATAGTCTGTGTGTATAGTCTGTGTGTGTAGCCTGTGTGTAGCTTGTGTGTATAGCCTGTGTGTATAGCCTGTGTGTATAGTCTGTGTGTGTAGCCTGTGTGTGTAGCTTGTGTGTATAGTCTGTGTGTGTAGCCTGTGTGTAGCTTGTGTGTATAGTCTGTGTGCAGCCAGTGTGTATAGCCTGTGTGTAGCCAGTGTGTATAGTCTGTGTGTAGCTTGTGTGTATAGCCTGTGTGTAGCTTGTGTGTATAGTCTGTGTGTGTAGCCTGTGTGTAGCTTGTGTGTATAGTCTGTGTGTGTAGCCTGTGTGTAGCTTGTGTGTATAGTCTGTGTGTGTAGCCAGTGTGTATAGTCTGTGTGTGTAGCTTGTGTGTATAGTCTGTGTGTGTAGCCTGTGTGTATAGTCTGTGTGTAGCTTGTGTGTATAGTCTGTGTGTGTAGCCTGTGTGTGTAGCTTGTGTGTATAGTCTGTGTGTAGCTTGTGTGTATAGTCTGTGTGCAGCCAGTGTGTATAGTCTGTGTGTGTAGCCAGTGTGTATAGTCTGTGTGTGTAGCCAGTGTGTAGCTTGTGTGTATAGTCTGTGTGTGTAGCCTGTGTGCAGCCAGTGTGTAGCTTGTGTGTAGCTTGTGTGTATAGTCTGTGTGTGTAGCCTGTGTGCAGCCAGTGTGTAGCTTGTGTGTATAGTCTGTGTGTGTAGCCTGTGTGCAGCCAGTGTGTAGCCTGTGTGTAGCTTGTGTGTATAGTCTGTGTGTGTAGCCTGTGTGCAGCTTGTGTGTATAGTCTGTGTGTAGCTTGTGTGTATAGTATGTGTGTAGCTTGTGTGTATAGCCTGTGTGTAGCTTGTGTGTAGCTTGTGTGTATAGTCTGTGTGTGTAGCTTGTGTGTGTAGCCTGTGTGTAGCTTGTGTGTATAGTCTGTGTGTGTAGCCTGTGTGTAGCTTGTGTGTAGCCAGTGTGCAGTCAGTGAGCAGCCTTGACTCACTCGGTGAGCTGTATCTCCATGAAGAGCAGGATAAAGATGAGGAAGGCCGGGATGATGGCTGCAAACACCATCCATACTTCAATACTTTTTTTGCTCCCCATCGGGTTGACAAACCAGCCGTACCGCTTCTTGGACGTGGGACTTAGTGAATCCTGGATGTCTAGTTTCTGCAACATTGATTGAACGATTTTATAAGTTTTTGTTTTGTAAATAAGTCAGGGTACAATTACAATAAATGCTGCCAGGGTACAAATTAAAAAAAAAAAAATATAATCAATAGCACTGATACTTAAAATGAACAATACCCAGCAGAATGAAAGGATGTTTTATGCTACCGTCTTCATGTGGTACAGGGTGCCTGATGTGGCCCAAATCATCACTGGGATCACCCTCATCTTGTACTGACCTGAGTATACGTGTCTTTAACACAGTAGTCAGTCAGGACCATGGCGAATAATGCGATCAGGATTCCGAAATCTCCCAGAGCACGTCGAGCCTGCAATACAAATAAATGCTGATTCGGGCACTATCTGTCATCTTACATTGTCACCATTAACTACATCTACCGACACAACTTTATCTACACCGGAACTACATCTGCAGCGTCACATATACAACTACGTCTGCAGCACCTATGTACACAACTACATGCACACACCAATGTCATAATCTCTTTGGCCACACTTTACAGTTGGCTGTCGGGAACATGTCTTTTATAGTAAATTTTTGTGGAATACATAACGCCGATAACAATAGACTGTGACATCAACAACAATGCAAAGTGACGCCTAGATGATGTCAACAATGTTCCTATATTGTGGCATTGTATCAACTATGTGTATAACATCAACAATGGAGTCTGCATTAGATATCAGTGCTGTAGAGCCATGATTTGTTTGTTTGTTGTTTAAAGCCTCACTCAGCAACATTCCAGCTATATGACAGCGGTCTGTAAATAATTGAATCCAGTGATTGACATCATGAGCATCGATCCACTCAATTGGGATACGAATTAATCAAGTCTGACCACCCTTCCCGTTAGACGTAGGGTCATGAAATCAGGCTAGCAGGTAGACCACAACAACATGGATCAGATAAATGGGATTTCTCTGCTTTTACTCACACTCCTGCCTAAGAATTTGCTGTTCCTGAAGATCCTTAGGAAATAGGCAATGAGGAAAGTCCCCAGCACCAAGATGGTGGTGAGGAGAGCGGTGTTGGGCTCATTGCGGCGTTCAGGATGGTCATCAGACTCGTACACAGGGGTGGTGGTGGTGATGTTGTCAGTAGCAGTGGTGATGTTGGTGATGTTACTGCCGTTGTGGTACAGGTTAGGATAACTACTGCTGTCATTGGGGCAGAACACAGCATTGAGGGGGTGGTAGGTGAAAGTCTGAAAGAAATATCATCATTATCATCATCATCATCGTCGTCGTTGTTATCATCAACATCACACAGTGTGACGAGATATGTTTCATGAGGGAGATGTTGTGAAAACTTGTTTTGGAGGGAGTGTGTTTGTTTGTTGTATATAGATGCACTCAGCAATATTAAAGTTACATAACGATGGCCTGAAAATAATCAGGTATGGACCAGAGATACTACTAGTGGTTAATATTAGGAGCAAAGTCCAAAATCATGAGCATGACACACAATGAACAAAGTTATCGAACATGACCACCCAATCCATTTAGTCACCTGATACGACAAACACAGGTCGCAAGGGACCAAGTTTAACCCCGAATCCCAAGGGAAGGGATATGCAAGGTGAATGAATAAATGTTAAGTCACGAGCAAGTCGGAAATACTGCAGTAAACTAAACCGAGAGCTCAACTGGTGTCATTCACACTCACCTTATCCACTTTCTTGATAGCCTCGTAGATGAAGATGAGCGAGATGAGAATGGCAAATATCTCCTCGGTGAAACGGGTGACGTAGCGGATGAGGAAGCTTCCTTCCAGAGCCACCGTTACCGTGGTGATGAAACACACCCACATGCCGATCCAGCACCGGAACGACAGGAACTCAATTTCATTAGCATCACAGAACTGCAACAATACAACATGATGGAGGGATTGAATGATTGATTGATCGATTGATCGATTTATCGATTGTTGATGATTGACTGATTCATTGATTTTGAACTGCACTGAACTGAACTGAGTTGAAATCAGTGTGTTGCTGAAACGACTGTCCAATGAATTACTGAACTGTTTGTTTGTTTGTCTGTTGTTTAACGCTGCACTCAGCAATATTCCAGCTTTATGACGGCGGTCTGTAAATAATCAAGTCTGGACGCGATAATCCAGTGATTGACATCATGAGCATCTATCCATGCAATTGGGATACGATGACATGCATCAAGCAAGTCAGCGAGCCTGACCAGCCGATCACGTTAGTGGCCTCTTACGAGAAGCATAGTCTTCTTTTACGGCCAGCATGGGTTGCTGAAGACCTATTCTACCCCGGATCTTCACGGGTCGAATTGATTTACTGGCTTAACTGACTGATGTACTGAACTAAATACTTTTATTAAATTCCTTATTTTGAACCAATTAAAACAATAAATCCCAATAAGGGCAGGTGTTTGTTTGTTTGATGGATGTTGTCTCACCTTGTATAGCGATTGTTCAAACACCAGCACCGGGCCGGTGGCCCCGACTATCAGCAGCGGCTGCCCACAAAACAAGCCAAACACCACGCCGCACAACGACGTGCTCACCACCGTCTCACTCACTCCCATCATGCCCTTGGTCTTCTCACCTGCAACAACATGGGATGTCAACACAGGTAACAATGATTGAAACCAACTTGGCTGCAGGTTTTGTTTGTTTGTTTGTTTGTTTGTTTGTTGTTTAATACTGCACTCAGCAATATTTCAGCTATGTGACAGCGGCCTGTAAATAATCATAAATGAGTCTCGACCAGACAATCTAGAGATTGAGATCATGAGCATCGATCCACACAATTGGGATACACGAGCATCAACTAAGTCAGTGAGCCTGTCCTCCAAATCCCGTTAGTCCGCTCTTATGACAAACATAGTTGCCTTTTACGGCAAGCATGGGTTGCTGAAGACCTACTCTTCCCCAGATCTTCTGCAACAGCTGATGTAAACTTGGCTGCAGGTAACCATGGTAACAACAACTGGGCTAGTCAAAGGTGAATTTGTGGGAATCAAAGGTATTTGTTTCAGACGTGTTTCAGACGTGTTTCAGCAATATCAGTTTCCCCATTTACTGTCTTACACTGTGGTCAACAATAATCCCAGAATATCACAGCAGTCTGTAAATAAGCGAACACAAACTAGTGGTTGATATTGTGAGCAAAGTCCCACATTGTTGGGGCACAATGACACACAATCAACAAGAACAGACAATTTCACGTCTCACAACAACGCCATAATGTGTGTCAAACATGCTGGCTCCATGCATGACCCTGGGTCGCCTCAACATCCAGCCTAATGATGAGGGAATGTCTGTGATTACATTTAAGTGTGTTTTGAACTGAAGTATGATTTAAACTACCTAAGTACATGAAAATGTAATGCTTTACTAGAATTGTTGACTAAAACACCTTCACAAAACACCAGTAATACATCAGATGGACAGTTGTTGGAAAATCCATGTTTAATGTCAGTGTCATCACGGTACTTAAATCACTAACGATAAGTGGAATGGCATCTCACAATACCCACACTGTCAAACTGAATAGCTTTTCTTCCTTTTGGGGACTTGGGATGATCATCCCCTTTGGTTTGTCATCTGCAGCGTTTTAACACTTATCAGGGGAGACAGTTGGAATAAAGTCCTTCCAGATATGCACGTTGCATGAAATGTTCTCTTTGTGAAACAATGAAGGGATTTCAAGGGAATTTCTCTTTTTGATTCAGGTTTTAAAAAACAATACACCTCCCGAATATCACGTCACACAAGATTTCTGGCCTATGCCGATACCGGTGGTATAACCTGCGGTGTTGGGTGACCTCGGGTCACAAGCATGATGTGATTGCTGCGAGACGTTACATCGTCTGTTCTTACCTCCACTACAAGGCCATGTCAATGGTAACACACTTACATGATTTTCAATGAAGAAAATATTTTTATTCGGACATGAAATATGAACAAAACAGGTACTATTAGTTAGTCAATGATTTTTAATCAATAATAACCAACTTTCGTTTCAAGAATGTGTGCTTTATGGAAAATAATTGTGAAAAAATGGGTTGCAAAATGATGGTTGACTGACGATAGTCGTATAGTACTAGGGCAACTTAATTATGATTATTAGTACATTAAAACCAGTCGTGATTCACATACATTTACCCTGTACACAACTACCTCTACAAGGCAATACACTATACACCAGGCCAATAGCTTACTGAGGATTCCGCCGAAGGCGATACACGGTGAAAAACATGCGAAGAAGATGAAGACGAGTGCCATGAGGCACTGGAGGTTGAGGGAGTCTCGCAGGTCGCTGACGTAGTGAGGATACCGCCGCTTGATGTCGTTGATGAGGCCGCCAAACAAACAGCCAGTTCGCAGAAGGGGATCTGTGGGGATCTTCTTGTGTTCTTTATCCAGCAGGCCTACAGTGAGAAGAACACACATGGTCACACATATGGTCGCACACACGGTCACATGCAGGGGTCAAGACTGTCAGCCTACACAGTTGGGAGTGTCCAGACAAAGACACACAGTTGGTCACACGATAATATGCAGAGGTCAAGACTATCAGCCTACAAAGTCGGAGTGTCCAGACAAAGGCCAACAGTAAACTGTTGGTCACACGATAATATGCAGTGGTCAAGACTGTCAGCCTACAAAGTCGGAGTGTCCAGACAAAGGCACACACATGGTCACACGACAGTTCATGTACATAGTCTATAGCACAATACTCTGTTCTAGAAAGTATTATAAAAGAGGCCCAAGGGATCATGAATCATGGATTTATGAAATTACAAGGATCCTTTGACTTTAATATTGAATTACAGAGACTGGTATTTGTCTTTTTCTGATCATCTATTTCAGGAACCACCCCAACATACCTGTTTGTTCCTCTTGTTTCTTCTTCTTGCGATGTCGGAGGTTGGCACGTTTCCTGGCCATGTCCATGATTGGCAGCAGCGTCTTCTGGTCCCAGTCACCAGGGGGCAGCACTATTGAGTCGTCCAGGAAGCTGTTAATGGCGTGCAAAAGTTGTTCCCTGGAATCCGCTTTGTAAGCCACTTCATGGAAACTCTGGAGGTGAGAGACGATTGGCCATGTACATGTGGGGAATAACAAGTGCTTGGTAGATAAACGGATATATCTTTACTACTTTCATCAGGGTCATCCACTCATCTCGCCTTGAACTTAGAAATGGACCGACCCACAAGTGTCAGTCACCTGATTGGCCATGAACTTAGACATGGACTGACCTGCAATTGTCACTCACCTGATTGGCCATGAACTTAGAAATGGACTGACCCGCAAGTGTCACTCACCTGATTGGCCATGAGTGTGGAAATGGATCGTCCCACTTCGTGGTAGTCCATGGCACTCTCTGGGCCAAGAAGGATGATCACAAAGCGTGTGGGCAGCGGCACCTCTGTGAGGTTGTCCAGGATCTGACCCTCCTCCAGACGAACAAAGGCCACCGCCGGTTTCTCCAAGAAGTCAACGTTACCAACCAGCACGATGCTGGCTTCTGCATCAGCAGGAATACGTCGCATAATATCCTGCACATTCCGCTTGGGCTCTGCAGCGGAGATTCCTATGTGAACACTATCAGTCTGAAAAGAATAAAAGTATATCCATTCTTTATGTCAGATGAACTGAAACATCACCTCTGAAGGCCCTACAGTCTTTGGGGACCTATTCTGATCCAGATTCCCCATGCATGAAATTGAGACGCTCTTTCTGAGTGTGTGAGTGAGTGAGTATGGTTTTATGCCCATTTAAGCAATATTCCAGCAGTATCACGGCTGGAGACACCAGAAATGGGCTTCACATATTGTACCCATGTCGGAAATTGAACCAGAGTTTTCAGCGTGATGAGCGTACGCTTTTAACCACTAGGCTACCCAAGCGCCCCTCTGAAATTAAGGCCATCATTAATATCCTTCTTTGACAATCAAGCACATTTTTAGTTTGACCTAACCCAACTTGCATTGGGATTATTGTTCCAGATAAAGTATGCTTCTATACAATCCTTTTTCTGAAGGGAGTCGAACAATATCCAAAATGTCATGCAAAGAGGTAACTTTTGTGGGTAAAACCGTCAGTAAAATTGTTTTTGTTTTCTTAACAAATAATGTTTTTCTTTAAAATCCCAGCCCTTCTTATAAAAAAATCCAACGGTTGTCGCTAACCATGTTGTTATCCACGTCAACCTTCACCATCTCCAGCTTGGCGGCCTCATGGTGAGGCGTGCTGCTCCCCAGGTACTCCTCGTTCAACTTCTTGAGGTCCGCACTCGACCCGATGTTGCCGAAGCTAGCCTGGGACAAGTTTGGAATCATTGACTTCCGGCGCTGGTGGTAATGTCTGAAAACAGGCAATGGAGAAAACATGTAAGCAGCACGTGGAACCTAGCAACAAATGAAACTCTCATGTGAGCAGGTGTTTTTAGAGCTTTTACCATATGAATGTGAGCATTCCCTCTTGTGTCAGAGGTATACTGACAGAAACAAATAAGGGAACAAATGGCAAAATAGCAGGATTTTGTTTACTGCTGACTCCAACTGCTTAACATGAGCTAATTAAGAACGTAGTTGTTATGCAGCACAGATTCTTCCCTGATTACATGTTCCCTTATTTTGTTCCATGAGTATATGTTTAAACTACTTGCCTCATCTACCTCCACTCCTGTCTCGCGTTTACAAATGAAAATGACTGATGACTATTCTGTCAACTACACAGAGGGAGGGGTTGAATGTCAATGAAATGCCCACTTCAAACTAAATAACACCACTCATAAAGTAGAGAAAATAACAGAACTACAAATTCCAAATATTAACGTTAACAAAATAACAACAATGAATGAGGGATTAATAATGATTATGTGGATGAATGACAATACATGGTAACGAAATATGACATTACACTGATAATATCCATGACATGACAAATAATACAGATTCCACAATGCATGTTACCGTCAGCATGCAATGTCCCGGCTAAGCATGCACTACACGTACACCATCTCCCGTCTGTGCCCAGTCTCTACACCCCAACAAACAACAATGCCTCGCTTAACTTTGTTTCAATATTTCGTTTTCCAAATAGGGTCGGTGGTAGAAACAAAATAAAATTGAAAAACACATTCTAAATAATATCTCTGAAAGAGTTACTTCCCTTGTTCAATTCCAATTCACTAATTTTTTGTAATACTGAAATTTGTTAACAGATTCAGCAGGTGATGAGAAGCTGATGATGACTTTTCACTCCTGAAATCAACTTAACACATTGTACTGAAATGGGGAATTGAACCAGGGTCTTTGATGTGAGAAGCCAACACCTTAACCACTAGGCCACTAGCAAAATATTAAACACGTCGGAAATTCCATTTACTCTCAGATCTGAATTTGTTGCAAAGTGCACAAACTGGCTACAAGTCAGGAGGAGACATATGACTGATTCTATAAGCACAAAACTGACCATTAGTAAGCTTAAAATGATCAAATCTGACATGCATATACATTTGATTGTGACTCAACAGTTGTTATAGAGTGATAACACAGGTTAGAACTCTGACCACAGGCTGATCATCTCTGATCACATGAACTATCTAACTTGCCAGGACTAAATATCAGTGTATTTCGTCTGAACAAGGAGCTTACATCAGCTTCTCTTCCGGGTACATTTTGTCCAGCACTGCTAGGCCTATTGAGTATCTTGTGTGTTTGTTTGTTGTTTAACACCGAACTCAGCAATATTCCAGCTATATGATGGCGTTCTGTAAATAATCAAGTCTGGACCAGACAATCCAGTGATTGACATCATAAGCATCGATCTACGCAATTGGGATATAATGACATGCATCAACCAAGTCAGCGAGCTGACCACCAAATCCCGTTAGTCGCCTTTTACGACAAGCATAGTCGCCTTTCACGGCAAGTTGCTGAAGACTTATTCTACCCCGGATCTTCACGGGTAACTATAACTATCTCTACATCTCTACGTCCATGAAGAACATGTTGGAAACACCCAGGGTCAGATGAACAACACTAACTTGTCATAGCTCAACAAACTGGTAGAGTTGGTGACGGATCTGAATGATGGCGATGTACCTTGTGAAACGTGACATACCGGGGTCAGCAATATTCCAGCCACAACGGCCTGTAAATGATCAAGTCTGGACCAGACAAACCCGAGACTGAGACCATGATCAACCATCCATGCATGAGGGCATGATGAAACACAACCAGCCATTTCAGACCACCTGATCATAGGCGAAAAACTGATGGAACACCTCATGATATGTGAAAAATGTAAATACAAAATGGACCTCCCCCTGCTTTCCACACCAAACATAACACCACATTTAATTTGGGAAATAATGAAATAAGGTAAAAGAAAGAAATAGGGAATCTAATAAGCAGCAATCCAATAACTGAGACAAAATGAATTGGGTGTCCACAAAGAATTCTTTTGATATACATGAATATTCTTCATTGTTGTAATAGTGTGGAGGTAATGAACTCAATTCATTGTACTAACCAACCATTGTCTTATTAGTAAAGCAACATAAAGTTAAAGGTTGTTGATGAAACCAAACATTGTTTTTATTACTCCTTGTTTTGTATTTTCTTCACAACTATGACATTAGCCCAAAATGTTAAGTTTGATAATCTCCAAATCTCAAGGCCAAATATCCGAGAAACAGCTAATTAATGGCCAAGAAGCACAGGTGTTGATTTAGTTTAGTGAGCAACAATTTTAAAAATAAGCATAATAAGTAGTTAGGTAATAATTGTCATAAATTGATATAACAACTTTTCACCACATCAAAATTATATCATAAATACATTGTCATTAATTTCCATAGATCATGACCGGAGAATGTGTAACAGTGTTTTAGTGGCAGTAGAACTATCACCACCACAGGCAGATTTTGAAAAAGGGGTTGGCTGGGTGCACATGTACCAAGTCATGAAGCTAAAGATAAACATGTACAGTCTCAAGTCGGTTGTCAATGCACCATACAGTTTCTGTTTTGTGTGAAGCAAACTGCTGTAAAATGTCAAAGGAAATAAAACTGTCAGTGCCAATGTGTTATGCAAATCTACAACTGAAAGTCGGGATTAGTAACGTAGCCACAGCTTGTTTCCCCGGCAGTCGTCGCACCTGGTGACTCAACCACTACTGACTGGTCCACCACATCTATCATCGGAACAACAGATCTTGGCTGGCAATATCCCAGCATTACTTGTTACTCAAATTTCAAAAGTGTCCCAAATGTCCTGTTTTCAGAAACACGAGATGAACGAAAGAGAAGAATCAAGCTGAAACTGCTGGCGTAACCAACTATGGGAGAACTCCTCAGTCACATCCAACAAACTGATGCTCTGCACACACTCTACAAGCCTTATAATTTCTAACTGTAACGGAAAACCCGGATTTTCCCATTCTCCCCGATGTCCAAATAACAGGCAAAGAGTTGCAAAACAAACAATCGTATGTAGAATTTGAAAAATACAGTTTACACCATCAAAGGTGATCAAGATTCAGTAAGTTTTTTGAAGATGGATCTCATTCACATGTGACCAGTGTGTAAAGTATCAGTTTGTGTCATTGGGACTGCTGAATGCTCTCGTCTAGATGAGAGTCACAAATCTAACACAGAGATGAAATGTCAGCATTCACCAATACACTACACAGTCAGCAGGCATAGCCATCCATATCACGTGGAAAGATGCACATGTTCAACAGCTTCACAACAGCCCGTGATTACAGCCTGTGTTACAGGATGCCCTTGACAACAGCCTGTGTTACAGGACACCCTTGACAACAGCCAGAATTACAGGATGCCCTTGATAACAGCCTGTGTTACAGTAACCCTTGACAACAGCTTGAGTTACAGTAACCCTTGACAACAGCCTGTGTTACAGTAACCCTTGATAACAGCCAGGCCTTGACAACAGTCTGCATTGCAGAACTCCCTTGACAACAGCCTGTGTTACTGGATGCCATTGACAACAGCCTGTGACACAGGATGCCCTTGACAACAGCCAGTGTTACAGGATGCCCATGACAACAGCCAGTGTTACAGGATGCCGTTGACAACAGCCTGTGTTACAGTAACCCTTGACAACAGCCCATGTTCCAGAACGCCTTGACAACAGCCTATTCCCCAGGATGCCCTTGACAACAGCTTGAGTTACAGTAACCCTTGACAACAGCCAGTGTTCCTGGGCTCCCTTGACAACAGCTTGAGTTACAGTAACCCTTGACAACAGCCAGTGTTCCTGGGCACCCTTGACAACAGCCTGTGCCACAGGATGCCCATGACAAGAGCCTGTGTTACAGGATAACCTTGACAACAGCTTGTTCCACGGGGAACAATTGAGAAGAGCTGTGACACAGCGAACATATATGAGCCTGTGCTACAGCGTGTCTCTGGCTACAGCCTCTACAACAGCGAACCCTTGACAACAGCCCAGGTCACAGCATGGACAACACAGAAAACAGCAGTTTCATCATTCAAAACTTTGACATTATATCCAAACAGCACATTAACTGGAGTGATATATGCCTTCTGAGTGTATTTGATCTACTGAATACGATACATGCAATCAGGGTCAGTTGAAACAAAACAAACAAAACAAACTAAACACACAAAGTCCTACAACGTCAGTGATGGCGACCTTCACAGACCATGCTCACACACAAAATATATTGACACATCTTCAGCAACGCAAACCAAGACAACAACACATTCAAGTGCACCCTCACATCAACTTTTTATTATTATCAAGAATTACCCTAATACTCTCACACTCAGGAGTGAGTGAGTGAGTGAGTGAGTGAGTGAGTGAGTGAGTGAGTGAGTGAGTGAGTGAGTGAGTGAGTGAGTGAGTGAGTGAGTGAGTGAGTGAGTTGGGTTTAACGCCGCTTTTAACAGTATTCCAGTTATATCGCGGCGTGTCAGCTTAATGTGAGAGGAAAGCCCGAAGTGATGCAGGTCTCAGACGTTTACCAATTCGGTGAAACCCACGAGCACGGGTATGGTGCTGACAAACCTAGAAACATAATCGGGGCGAACCGGGATTCGAACCCACAATCATAGGTTTCTGGCGTGCCTAAGGGATGCAACTCTGCACAGCGAATCGCGGTGCCTTAGACGACTGGGCAACCCGTGCCCCCCCGACACTCAGGAACATGAGTTCTATTTGCATACAGATCCAATCATTTTGACATTTTGGAATAGAGGAATCCTCATATTTCATCGTTAAACATAACACAACTACAACGTTCTTTGGGAAAGTTAGGGTTCATGAATATTTGGGGGGATATTTTTATGAAACTGTGCGCTCGGTCGTCACAACAGCCAAATATTCCAAAATATAGTCATGTTCCCCAACTCTTTTTTGTTCAGTATATCATAAATATACAGTAATTGTGGAGTGTGTTGATGAGTTGAAATAACCTTTCAAATTCATTAAATAAAATTCAGTCTCGACCTTCAAAACTAGTCATTACCAGAACAAATTCACTAGTTTATTAATAACTGTATTCTGCTAGTTTATCCATGCAGTTCAGTTGTCATGGTAACACACATCCAACATGATGGTGTATGATTTCAGAGCAATTTCATGTTTCATTGATGTTTGAGTACACGTTAAAAGCAATCCTACTGACTATTACTAACAACACAAGTACAGGATATTTAGAATATCAGAAACATTATTTTTTGTCAGACTAACAATGAGCATTTAATGTCTGGAGATTTTAACATTGAAGCCTCTGACTAAAATGGTTGATTCAATATTAAAGCCCTGGGCACTGAATGCTCAATACCAAAATCTGACAAAATATATGATGTACTTAAGCTGTCGCTGTGTCTCTAATGCTGTCATGTTTAAGGCTGCGCTCGAGTCCAGACCAGACAAGCCAGTGATTGACATCATGAGCATCTATCCAGGCAATTGAGATATGATGACATGCATCAACCAAGTCCGCGAGTCTGTCCATCTGATCCCGTTAGTCACCTTTTACAAGCATGGGTTGCAGAAGACCAATTCTAACTGAGAACTGTGGGGAGGGTGATATGAGATCATATACAATGTCAAGAAGTATAGCAAACCTGGATGTATCCAACCCCACGAGGTTGGAATATGACACGTTTCGGGGCAGAAACGTGCTGCGTTCACTAACATGCCTGAAATCAAATGGTGTTAAAAGGAATGAAGTTAATAGTCAATGACACAACATAATCAACTCAAAGCAGGGTAGTAAAAAATCAAATGATATAGTGAAAGCAAATCAAGATGAAAAGTGGAGCCATCAGACTCTCTAGCTCACCACAGTGACAAACGGAATAAGATAATGACCTCATTTAAAACTGTAAGACAATGGTAGTTTTGTTGGCGTGCATGAGTGGCCACAAAAAATGTGGTCATGAATTTGTGGGAATACATGAAAATAAACATAAATGAAAGCTTTCTTTATCTTCTGTATGACAAACTTGTGGAAACAGTGAAGAAATCCACCACAGAAGTAACTTATATGTCCTGGTGATCTCGTTCAGAATACTAATAAACCTTTTCTTTCCCTCTCTGATGCTGAGGAGGCTGAGTGAGAATTACTCAATATATGATGATTCCATGAACAGTCAAATGCAAGAAATATCACAAGATTAACTTCATAAACCATGCAAGGGTAAATATCAGCCAATCTACATGTTACAAACAGATGCTACTTACTCCAGAACAACAGGATGGAAGATTTATCAGATTACCCAACGCCACCATGGTTTCTGACAACACTGCTAAAACATTTTTGTTAACCGTCTGTGGCCAACCTATGTATAAACAACAGGCAGCATGCCATGGCATAACTCACCCGGGCCGTCTACCCTGGTGAGGTATCACTGTTTCTCTCATTACTTTGACAATGTTATTTACAAGAAGTGTATCAGTAATATCTTTCTCTTTATCATGTTTATACAAGGTATACAAAAATAAAAATAATGATCATTCTTATTACATTCCTTTCTCAACATTGTCAAGCAATGTTAACATTTTTAAAGCGGATGTAGCATTATACAGCACTGCATCTATAGCCAGTGAGTCAGCGAGGCTGGTGTTAGGGAGAACAATACTTCTACATGGTAGTCTCAAGATGAAAGCTTAAGTCAGGTTTGTTAAATGTGTCATACCTCTTTCTCAATTCATATGGAAAGAATGAAACATATCTTTCAGACATTCCAACAGCAGGAAACCTGTCCATGAAAACAGTGTTTAGGTTGCATTTACCCTGTATACTGTGACTTACGAGTGAGTGAGTGACTTACAGACTTAAACAGTATTATTGTGTATCACGTCAGTTTCCTGGGGAAAGATAACACCAAACCCAGGTGGTTTTGTTGTTTTGTTTAATGCTGAACTCATCAATATTCGAGCTATATGATGGCGGCCTGAAAGTAATTGAGTCTGGGCTAGACGAGCCAGTGATTGATATTGTAAGCAACCAAGTCTAAAGCAGCCGTATCACTCATCACTCGTATCGCACCAATAGCATCGGGGTACTTATCATATGGTAACCTTACTGTATCATTACACCTCTAGAGCTGTTGACGAGTTTCTAACACTAATAAACATAATTAAAGAAACTTAAACTCAGAATAATGAACAAGTGTGAACAAACAGCAACTGACTATACATCACCTGCAATCCATGACGGAGTGACACACATACATACACCGCTTCATCCTAGGACTTTATAACAATATCAACACAGTCAGTTACAACATGTGTCATATCACACACTACTTCCCTTTACAATGGGCAGGTTACATAGAAGCAAATAAGGTCTTGATGTCCAATGTTCACATTCTATTCCCACTTCATCACTACAGGACCCAACTGAATGTCGTCATGTGCATCGTGGTATCCATCAGTTCACTTTCCACACCCTTCGCATATAATTGAAACACAATTAAGCCAGGTCCAATTATTTATTTGTTTTACTCTACCCGCTGGTTGAATTTATTCAAGATACCCTCTGGAAACATATACCATGCAGTTTTCCCCATCTTTTTGTAGATCGCCTCCGTGGTCTTGTGGTAGGGCATCCGCCCGGAGAGTGGAAGGTCCGGGATTCGATCCCCGGACGCGTCATACCAAAAGACGTTAAAAGATGGTACTTGTTGTTACCCTGTCTGGCGCCTGGCATTAAGGGGCTAAAACAAGGATTGGTCGGCTCGGAGACAGTATACAGTATACTGTGTCTGAGTGGGGTATTCATGTTAAACTGCGGCATGGTATCTCAGTGAGCTAGCACTATAAATCGGCATCAGTCCGGACTAGTACAAGCAGCTACACAAACACACACACGTACATGCACGTCGCTATATAAGTGCAATAATCTTGGACGCAACGTTAAACCCCATTTCACCTCATCTTTTTGTATACAAGTAAGGGAGGTTACTCTCATTGCCATAATCATGTGATCTGGCCGTAGTGTTTTATATCTAATCTAATATCCCAGTGAAACTTGGAGACTGTACACAACTTCGTAGATAGTTCAAAGACTGATATGAATTGAGAATCAGAGGTATGACTGACATGTTATGAAAATGATGAAACTTGTGGAGTACGGTTGTGATGTTTTGATGAAAATGATACAAATTTACTATCATGCCTAATTCTACCATTATAGCTGTAGGTACTGGAAGCAAGCATCAAGTATATAATGGCCACACGATCACTACTGTATGGATACATCAACATCATACAACACTGACAAAATGGTGTCCCCAAAACTTCAGTGTAATGCACAAAATATGGACTTGTAACTGTGAGTAGTGACAAGGAAAGAAGCAGAACATTAGCTGCAAGTTATATGATGCACAATATTTACATGAGGAAAAGCTTCTCAGATTCAAACTGATACTCATGCCCTTTCTCGGGACTTGAGCCTTAGACTTGACCTTGCCAGATTGGTCATGGACTTACTTGTGTTTCAGGAGAAGTGTGCGGATTAGTCTCCCCTTGTCCTGGTCTCGGATCTGGTCAGTGATGGTCATGTTGTCCACTACCCGGTGGATGATGGTCTGAAGGTCACTGGCATCAAGGTCAAGCAGTAAAGTGCCTGGAGAGAAATGTCCAGAGTGGCAGGACTAACTTTTGACATAGCAGATAACATCTTAGTCATGGCAATATTACATCTTAGTCATGGCAATGTTACATCTTAGTCATGGCAATATTACATCTTAGTCATGGCAATATTACATCTTAGTCATGGCAATGTTACATCTTAGTCATGGCAATATTACATCTTAGTCAAGCAATATTACATCTTAGTCATGGCAATTTTACAGCTTAGTTATTCCACAGCAATATAATAGATAAGCCATGGCAATACAGCAGTCATACCACAACACGATCATAGATAAGCCATGGCAACATAAGATGTTGTGGCATCACATTACGACAGCTGTGTCTGTCTGACAGCTCCTGCAGATACCCACCATGCTCCAGCCCCCTCCTGAGTTCCAGAAGACTATGGAAGGACAGGGAGGCCACGTGAGGTTTACCCCACCTCTCTGCCCCTTCTTCTACATCCTCCTCAAACTTGATCCATCGAGCCTTCTCCCTCCACTCCCACTCAGCATCAGGGTCCGGGCCAACATGAAGCTTGTCCAACTCCACAAACACCTGCAGTAGACACCACAAGACTTAGTCCTATCTCACTCCACAAACACCTGCAGTGGACACCACAAGTCTTAGTCCTATCTCACTCCCCAAACACCTGCAGTAGACACAACAAGTCTTAGTCCTATCTCACTGCACAAACACCTGCAGTAGACACAACAAGACTTAGTCCTATCTCACTCCACAAACACCTGCAGTAGACATGACAAGACTTAGTCCTATCTCACTCCACAAACACCTGCAGTGGACACCACAAGACTTAGTCCTATCTCACTCCACAAACACCTGCAGTGGACACCACAAGACTTAGTCCTATCTCACTCCACAAACACCTGCAGTAGACACCACAAGACTTAGTCCTATCTCACTCCACAAACACCTGCAGTGGACACCACAAGTCTTAGTCCTATCTCACTCCCCAAACACCTGCAGTAGACACAACAAGTCTTAGTCCTATCTCACTGCACAAACACCTGCAGTAGACACAACAAGACTTAGTCCTATCTCACTCCACAAACACCTGCAGTAGACATGACAAGACTTAGTCCTATCTCACTCCACAAACACCTGCAGTGGACACCACAAGACTTAGTCCTATCTCACTCCACAAACACCTGCAGTGGACACCACAAGACTTAGTCCTATCTCACTCCACAAACACCTGCAGTAGACACCACAAGACTTAGTCCTATCTCACTCCACAAACACCTGCAGTGGACACCACAAGACTTAGTCCTATCTCACTCCACAAACACCTGCAGTGGACACCACAAGACTTAGTCCTATCTCACTCCACAAACACCTGCAGTGGACACCACAAGACTTAGTCCTATCTCACTCCACAAACACCTGCAGTGGACACCACAAGACTTAGTCCTATCTCACTCCACAAACACCTGCAGTGGACACCACAAGACTTAGTCCTATCTCACTCCACAAACACCTGCAGTGGACACCACAAGACTTAGTCCTATCTCACTCCACAAACACCTGCAGTAGACACAACAAGACTTAGTCCTATCTCACTCCACAAACACCTGCAGTGGACACCACAAGACTTAGTCCTATCTCACTCCACAAACACCTGCAGTAGACACCACAAGACTTAGTCCTATCTCACTCCACAAACACCTGCAGTAGACACAACAAGACTTAGTCCTATCTCACTCCACAAACACCTGCAGTGGACACCACAAGACTTAGTCCTATCTCACTCCACAAACACCTGCAGTAGACACCACAAGACTTAGTCCTATCTCACTCCACAAACACCTGCAGTAGACATGACAAGACTTAGTCCTATCTCACTCCACAAACACCTGCAGTGGACACCACAAGACTTAGTCCTATCTCACTCCACAAACACCTGCAGTAGACACCACAAGACTTAGTCCTATCTCACTCCACAAACACCTGCAGTAGACACCACAAGACTTAGTCCTATCTCACTCCACAAACACCTGCAGTGGACACCACAAGACTTAGTCCTATCTCACTCCACAAACACCTGCAGTGGACACCACAAGACTTAGTCCTATCTCACTCCACAAACACCTGCAGTGGACACCACAAGACTTAGTCCTATCTCACTCCACAAACACCTGCAGTGGACACCACAAGACTTAGTCCTATCTCACTCCACAAACACCTGCAGTAGACACCACAAGACTTAGTCCTATCTCACTCCACAAACACCTGCAGTGGACACCACAAGACTTAGTCCTATCTCACTCCACAAACACCTGCAGTAGACACAACAAGACTTAGTCCTATCTCACTCCACAAACACCTGCAGTAGACACCACAAGACTTAGTCCTATCTCACTCCACAAACACCTGCAGTAGACACCACAAGACTTAGTCCTATCTCACTCCACAAACACCTGCAGTAGACACCACAAGACTTAGTCCTATCTCACTCCACAAACACCTGCAGTAGACACCACAAGACTTAGTCCTATCTCACTCCACAAACACCTGCAGTAGACACAACAAGTCTTAGTCCAATCTCACTCCACAAACACCTGCAGTAGACACAACAAGTCTTAGTCCTATCTCACTCCACAAACACCTGCAGTAGACACCACAAGACTTAGTCCTATCTCACTCCACAAACACCTACAGTAGACACCACAAGGCTTAGTCCTATCTCACTCCACAAACACCTGCAGTAGACACCACAAGACTTAGTCCTATCTCACTCCACAAACACCTGCGGTAAACATAAGGCACCATAAGACTAAGGTCCTGTCTTTCTCTAGCTGCAGTACACACAAGACCACTCTACACAGTGGGATGGAGCACCCTGGACCATCCATAGACAGTGATTTAGAAGGTAAATACACACCATGTTTGTGTCCCCCCAAAGTCAGTGCCCTCCCCCCCACCTACCTCATGAGGACTGTGGTCAATCTTCTTGGGCTTATGCGGTTTCTTCTCCTTGGCCAACTTGCTGATATGCACGATAGAATGCATGGCACTGCGATGGCGGTTGATCTTGTGCCGTCTGATGCCCCGCACATCCTCGAATCTGTGACCTGGAAGAGTTAGGACGGAGACCATAGTGCAGTACCTCTACCATGCCTGCCGGCACACATAACTCAATCAAATCCTTCAAAAGAGAACCTTTCACCAACAACATAAGTGACCGACCAGGAGAAAAGGGGCCTCATGGGTGTCAAGATACAACTGTGCTGTGACGTCATAAAAAAAAAGATGTTGGACATCAACTTACTTCTATACAGACTGTACAAAATTATCTTATTTTATTCTTGTTTAGTTGTAATGTAATAAAAGCATTAGTTCAAAACATTTTAGCATCCATATCTACTTACAATGAATCAGCTGCTATATTTAAATAATTACAAGTTATTATTTTAAGTCTGAAAATGGGATTCTGAGGAAAATTAGTCCATATGTTTAATGCCAAGTATCAATTTAATAAATAAGAATTGAAGCCTGTGCATTGTGTTCCTGTGTTCATATGACCCTGTATTTTTTAAACAATGAAAAGTCAAAATGTGATTTTTCACCCATAATGTCCCCGACTCATGGCTGGTCACATGTTTCAATCAATGAATCACCCAACTACCTTTCAACATTATTGGTATTAATATTTATCATCAGTTGAATCAAACAGCCATCCCATACTTAAGCACTGGTTACAAAGTCATTCAGAAATCCTCTCTTGAATGAAACTTGGCTACATGATAAATAAATGGTTATAAGGTTATTGGTGAGAATCCCCATGCTACTGTCCCTCCCATCCTGGTCCCCCTCCTGAGTACACTGCCAGTGTTTCAGGCCTCACTTGGAGTCCCTCACAAAGACTGCAAACAAGACCAAAGACAGTGAAGTTCCGTTAATCCGACATGGTTGGTTGCATATGATTATGTTGGATAAATGAAATTAAGTAATTGGATAACTACACGATAGATAACGAAACAAACCCGTAATAAAACATGAAATATTCATATTGTTATGTTACATTGTTAGCGGAATATGTTTTCTAAACATGCAACCTGCAACACAAAACAACTGTTACAGACTGCATGACTGATTCAAAATACTTTAAAAAGAATAGTCTGGAATGGAAGTCGCCAGTTCAACTTCAACTTCCTGTTAGTCATTTCATTGGGCGGTCATAGTTCGCGAAAGGTCGTTCTGACGTGACCTGTAATGTGATGTCCTAAGCGGTAGCGTGAGCAAATCAGTCGGAGTGCGAGACTGTCGGATTAACGGGGCTCAATAGCACTGATTTAATCGTTTCCCTTTATTAGTGTCGGCTACAGCTGATTGTGGGATTAACGAGTGTCGGATTAACAAGACTTGACTGTACATGACATGAGTATATATTTGAGACAAAAAGTATAAGAAGTGTCCTTAAAGCGGATTGCCTGCCTGTATAGTCTTACTGGCCAAATTGTCCAGGTCGGCCTTTTGGAGCAGCATCGCCTCCTCGGTTTCCGTGGGCGACCGCTTCAGTTGTTCCATGTTGTCCAGGTGGACCTCGGAACCCCGTTGCCGCCTCATGATCAGGTGCTCCTTCCGGAAGTGCTCATGGTGGTGCTTCCGGTGCTTCTGTTTCCCCAGCTTGCTGTCCGACCTGTTGGGTGGAATAGGTAGAATTGGGTAGACAGAGCACATTTATATACAGCAGGAAGTTAAGGAACTTGATTTAACTTGCACCAGGTGCCTGTTGACATCTGCACCATTTGCACCAGACAAAACCAGGCGGCACCTATAAATTTTGTCCCATAAATTTATCATGTTTATAAATTTGTTAAGTCATGTGATAAACAAAAGTGTGCATTGTACATGTGCAGAATATAGCCACTTCAATCACTGTGTTACTGTTGTTAATTGAGGGTGTAATTTGAGGACAAGGTGTCAGTACTTAAGAGTGAATCAATTGCCTTCAATTGTTTATTGACGCTTTGAACCCCAGCGCTTGGCCCTTTGATGTTTTGATAGGTAGATTGGCGACACATGAGGAGCTCAGCTCAATGATTTCACAGTTTGGTATACACTTAAACATTGTCGTTGACAGAGTACACACGGGACCACAAGGTGAGTTCGCTATATCCGTTATTTCGTTATGAGCATGTTCGTTACATCCATCAACTTTATATATGGCAAATAGCCAAGTGAGTGAGTAAGTAAATGTTGCTTCAAGCCGCATCAGCAAATGGCCAAGACCAAAAGATGTTTGGCTTCTTATCCGTTTGGATTGTTCTGTTTGTTTCTCTGCACCACAGTCAGAAAACAAGATCCTCCAACCAAACACAAGTAATTTCCTGTGAACAGAATCAATGTCCACACAGGGTCACACCATTATGAATTGGTTTAAGGCCTCACAGGACAAGCGCTGGTTTCTAACAGTGTAGTGTCAATAAGGGGAGACAACTCATACTCACTGTGAAGCATGAGGGGCACCCCCATCTGGCACATCTCCATTGGGATGTTGCGGCACCCACACCGGGTCGTCCCTGTCAACCAGGCTGGCCTCACTGCCGTCATCCCCTGGGGAAGAGAGAGGGGGACATTCTGTAAGGAGGCCTGGGATTTGGTATGGAGAATAGATATTTTTCAGCTCTAATGCAAAACCAGATATTTTTTTTAATTCAAGCTGTGAGTTTCAATATTATTTTAAAAAACAAACAATGCAACAATTTTCTTTTTTTTAAACAGTCTGCAGCATAAATATTTTTTCCAAGATAATCAGGGTTCATTACAGAAACAGGAAACGTTGGGCCAAATGAACCCTACCTTTCTAAGAATTAAGGACATATGATGAAACCAGGGAACACACAGTATTTTTTAAGCAAAAAATTAAAACTTAGAGAATGTAACCTTTTTCACAGTATAACAGGGATTGTCAGTGTCAAGGTCACGATTTCCCATTAAATGCAATAACCAAAACTACTTTTGGATTTTATGTTGTGCCTTTTTGGCGCAGTGATATTAATTTTGGTGCCTTTAAGAGATTTGTGTGTAAAAGTCCCCATGGCCACACTCTGAAATGAACACTAGACAATCTACTTTTTTCAATAAACTCCAACAATCACAATCCAGCAGAATGAAGTCAGTGGAGTTGAGTCAAGCCCGAAACGCACTCTAATGTCAATTCCTTACCCAGTAAGAACTTGACCTGTGGAGCACTGTCTTTCCGCAAACGAGACCCGCCCCCACCGTGTGGTATATGTAAGCTAGCAGCATGCTGGGATACCTGCGGCTCATCACTCACAGACCCAAGCATGGCGGAGGTCACGGGTTCCTCTGACCCGGCTCGCTTGAACCTCGATGATGAAGATGTCTTAGAATCGCCAGGAAAACCCTTGGTTTCCTCAGTGGGTGAAGTCTCACCATCTTCCTCTCCGATGAAGAAGCCTACAGTGATGCCGGGGGCAGAGGCTTTGCGGGGTTGGTCCGTATAGACGGACCCGCCCCCCACAAACTCCCCCTCCTCCTCTCTCTCCTCCTCGATGTCCATATCATCTGATTCATCCGTCTACGGAAACATAAACAAGTTAAAACATGGAGGCTGCAGATGACGGGCTTGTCCATTTTTAGAATGACCCTCCCAAATCACAAAGATCAGCAGTAATGTGATAATCAAACAAATATTTATTACATACTTATGAGGTCCTGTTTAAAACCAGAACTAATCATGGTTTATTACACGGGAACGAGTTTAGTATTTTAGTTTTTTGGGTACTTGCCGTTCAATTATTTTTATAAATTTCACTTTTGTTTGTAAATGTAGGCAGATATCTACGTGATCCAGAGCATAATCCAATTGAGCTTAAAAGAATAATACTTTAAGCACATGAAAAGTTGAGATGTATTTATTTCATACCATACAACAGGGGTCCGTTCCTCAAAGCCAACTAAGCGCTATGGTGATCGTAACTCCCATACTTTAACATAGACTTACAACTGTCCTTGAGTAGAACGGGGCCCTGCACCACAATGTTTACAAACAATTCAAAATACCCATGACATAATTTGTGAAAATCTTTTGCAACAGATACCAGCGAAACAATGACATGATGTAACTATCCATGTTTCAACTGACTAAAATATTGTATTTTCTACCTTGTCCTTCAAATAAGCCTCGGGATCTTTTTCTCATCCCCTGGGCCACCTTCTACTGGGCCACCTTCTACTGGGCCACCTTCTACTGGGCCACCATCTACTGGGCCACCATCTACTGGGCCACCTTCTACTGGGCCACCTTCTACTGGGCCACCATCTACTGGGCCACCTTCTACTGGGCCACCATCTACTGGGCCACCTTCTACTGGGCCACCTTCTACTGGGCCACCATCTACTGGGCCATCTTCTACTACTGGGCCACCTTCTACTGGGCCACCATCTACTGGGCCACCTTCTACTGGGCCACCATCTACTGGGCCACCATCTACTGGGCCACCTTCTACTGGGCCACCATCTACTGGGCCACCTTCTACTGGGCCACCATCTACTGGGCCACCTTCTACTGGGCCACCATCTACTGGGCCACCATCTACTGGGCCACCTTCTACTGGGCCACCATCTACTGGGCCACCATCTACTGGGCCACCTTCTACTGGGCCACACTGCATCAGTAATTTGCATGAACTACTCATACGAGTGATTGAGTGAGTGACTCTTGCTCAACACCTCTCAACAATCTTTCAGCTATTCGCAGGAACTACTCATAAGTGTCTCACATACCTCCTCCTCATCATCATCATCGTCATCTTTGTCTTCAACTTCCTCTGGGATTGGAGGGGACTTCAACGCTCCCTTTGATGGGAAACTCCGCATCTTTTTCTTTTTCTTCTTCTTCTTTTTCTTGACTTTAGCTGGTTTGAGTGTCTTGAGAGACTTGTTGGAGAGGGAGCGCAGTGGCTGATGGGTGTGGGGAAAGGACACTCGGCGGTGGACTGGAGGGACACACAGAAGTGAAGAATTGGTGAGTGAATGTTGTTTTATTGCCACAATCAACAATATCATATAATAATAGAAGAATGTAATTAATCTCGCAAAGCTAACCAGTGGTTGATTGTACAAGTAGTGATGTATGCTGACACAATCAAACAGATCCAATCTTATTTAGCCCACATGTACAGGAATACCCACAAATTAAGGATCATAACAGATCCTGGTCTGACTAAGGGCCATAACTCTGTAGACATGTGCAGTACCTTAGACAACTGAGCCACTGTGCTCCCTATATAGGCAAGTAAAGCAAATAAGTGTTGTTTCCAGCCTACCTGCATAGTCGTGTTCATCAAAGTGCCTGTCTGTGACTGTGACCTCACTGGGTCGACGGTTTCTGTCGGGTACAACGGTTGACGAGGACAACTCATCTATGTCAAACTTCTTTGGCATCTCAAACATCTTCTCCACCTCATCATGAAGGAAGGAGAGGTGAGAGACGCATGCACCGCGGTCCATCTCACGAATAAAGGACATTTGTGGATCCGGGACAGACTGTTCTGCTTCGTTCTCATCCTCCCGGTCCCCATTGCCGACGTTCACAAGGGCGGAGTCACTCGGGAACACCTCGGGCATCCACACGATTGCCTCATCATCATCCTGACTCAGGGGGATGGCCTCGTCGGCTGTGTGCTGCAGAGGACAACAGACATGTTACTGGGCATCTACAGCTTTCAGTGACAAGCATATTTCCTTTACTAAGGGCCAGGTCTATGTAAAGGAAGGGGTTTGAATAAAAGACCAGATCTCAATAACGAAACCAGGGCCCACTTGCACAAAGCGATCTTAGCACTACGACTATTGTAAGCCTATGTTAAAGTATGGGAGTTATGATCATCTTAGCGCCAAGATCGCTTTGTGCAAGTGGGTCCAGGTCTAAAAGGGCCAAGTCTTGATAAAGTGCTGACTCTCCGTAAAGGGCTAGGTCTCAATTAAGGGCAGTGTTTCTATTAAGGGCAGTGTCTCTATTAAGGGCCGTGTCTCAGGTGAAAGTGTTTAAGAAAGATTCAGGGTTCTACCAGTAATCAAGGCTTGGTTCCATGCTGCTAAATATTTTTCCCCATAACATTTCAATTTCATTTTCTCACAACATTCAATAACATAATAACATAATCTCAACACATCAAAGAACAAAAGCAAAGTCAATATTCACCCACATAACATCAACAAAATATTTTGACAAAGAATCAGATTGTTCAAAACCCCTCGAACCTGTAATTCCCAGCATGACATCCCTCAACATGCCTGATTGCTGTTTCCGGCTTAGTTTACGAGAACATACACAAGGTAATCTTAATCCCGGCCTAGCAGAACAAAAAATACAATTTTTTTATCTCAAATTTCGAATTTGTACTGACCAAGTTTTATCACCTGTTCGTTTACTGAAATTCGCTGAAGGGGTAGAACTACGGTGTAATTTTTTTCTGCCCTTGATATTCGATTTATTTTTTTCCAAAATACTAAAATACTGAATCCGCTAGAGGATACATTATACATGGGTGCGCACTATACTCAAGAAAATATGGTAAATAGAATCAGTTGTACGTAGTATACACTCTGCCGCAATACTTACCAATCTTGGTACTAGTGTCATGATACAATACATGATACAATACATGGTACAATACTTGACATGGTCCACCATCAAGAAAATGCAAAATGCAAAAACATCCCATATTTAGTAGATTTGAGTTAATTAAAGGAACAGTGAACTGGAACTTGTTCCTCTTGCGTTACATCCAGGATGCTTAATGGTTAAATGGAAGGGTACTCCGACATTCACAACCTCACTTGGCAGCCATTGGGTCCTACCAATTACCGTATGTCATCTCTAAACAAATTGTGAGTGAGTTTGTGCATTTCAGTCATATCACCGTTTGTCCGGTCAAGTGGGGAGAAAAGCAACTGGTACTTGGTACCAATTGTACCTCCAACATACAATCTGGATTCAGATAGATTCTATATCGATCATATAAAACAATATTGCTTCCTACATGTTTGTCATCCAGCTCATTGGAACTGCTGTTATTGGTCAATGTGACACACCAATGTGACGTCAGTTGTTTGTTTTGTTTTTTATGCCGCACTCAGCAATATTCTAGCTATATGACGGGAGTGGTGAGGCCTGAAAGTAATCAAATATTGAGCAGACAATCCACTGATTGACATCAAAGCATACATCCATGCAACTGGGATACAATGACATAACATCAGCCAAGTCACCGAGCCTGACCACCAGATCCCTAGAGTCCCCTCTTACGTTGGTTGTTGGTTGGTTTGTCATTTAACGCCACACTCAGCAATATTCCAGCTACATTGTATATGACGGTGGTCTGTAAATAATCGAGTCTGGACCAGACAATCCAGTGATTGACATCATGAGCATCAATCCACACAATTGGGATTGATGATGTGCATCAACCAAGTCAGCGAGCCTGACCACCCGATCCCGTTAGTTGCCTTTTACGACAAGCAGAGTCACCTTTTACGACAAGCATGGGTTGCTGAAGACCTATTTTACCCCGGAATCTTCACGGGTCCGCCTCTTACGACAAGCATGGGTTGCTGGGGACCTGTATTCTTACCCCGAATCCCCACGGATGTTCACTCCACTCCATCTATACTTTGTGTACCATGGCAATAGGTGTCAGGGTACCTCCAACATACCAGTCTGTTATATCATGTGTTACATCATGTGTTATATTCATGATATATCCTGTGTTATATCATATTTTATATACAGTTATATCCATGATATATCATGTGTTACATCATGTGTTATATCAATGTCAGTTGTTACATCTGTGATATATCAGGTATATATCAGATGTTATATAATGTGTAATAGGTGTAATAGGTGTTATATGTGTAATAGGTGTTATATCATGTGTAATAGGTGTTATATCATGTGTAATAGGTGTTATATCAGTGTTAAATCAGGTGTTATGCTGCATTGTTTAATGACAGCAGTGGTAGAGACACAGACACAACACAGTGAGGAGTAGTTGTAACAACTCTCGCCAGCACTCAGAGAAACTCAGAGAAACTACTTTCCACACAACAACACATCAGGTGTTATAACTCTGCATGGTTTAATGACAGCATGAAGCTGACACAGCACAGTGAGAAGCAGTATTTCTGTTAGGAGCATTAGCTCACAGAACAAACCACTTTCAAAAATAAAAGTCAACTTCATTGCTGTCGACCGATGGCGTGAGATCGATATTATTAAATCATCAAAAAGATGCAGCAGTCACATTGTACGTTATCGCTTAATTGATGTAAAGTCCACATTTGTTTTCTTCATGCTTAATAAATGCAGGACCAAACAATATCTAATCGACTATGCACATGCAGGGCTTCAAATAAATGTTAACAAGCAGTCCAAATATATATCCAGTCCAAATATAAATATGCATGACAGCAACATCTTGATACTTGGCAGTATCAGTGACTGGCTAAGAATAACAGATTTGGTGGCAATAGTCCTCACTAGTAGTCAATACATGGAACAAATAGTGTTGAGTTATCAGTCATAGCCTGTTGCACAGCAAAGGGCTAGCATGTATAATCCTTTACATTTATGCATTGACATGCTTGACAGGGAAATCGGGGCGGTAAGGGTAATCTTGTGGGTATAGCATTTGTTCATCACACCTAACACCTGGGTTCGATTCCCCACATGAATACAATGTGTGAAGTGGATGTCTGGTGTCCGAAGCCGTTATATTGCAGGAATATTGCTAAAAGCAGCATAAAATGATACTCACTCACTCACTCACACATATTGTGTTCAAAGTGCAGACTGGGCTAACAATGACATTAAACTCAAGTGCTGAAAGTACCGCAAACAAGACCAAATTTGCATAGTACAAAAAAAAATTAAAACAAAATATAAATTTACAAGAACTTTTCACACGGCTGAATTAGTAAACAAAGATATTAAAACAGTATAAAGACGGATACATGCAATGGTAGTGCATCAGGGTTCAAGCATGAAGAACCAAGTCAACACGAGCAGTGGTTACCGTGTCTGAGGCGGTGACATCATAGTCACCGATCCAGTCCGGATCCTGAAAATAAACCATGTGACCATTTCCTTAGGTATATTCTACACCGACTGTACCAAAGAAAATCAGGTTATTTCCTGAAAAATAAGTCCATAAGTTTCCTATCTGTCTTGATGATGAGTTAGTGGATGTTTTTTATGCCACGTCAGCAATATTCTAGCTGCATGTGTCATGGCAGTCTGTAAATTATCAAGGCTGGACCAGGCAAAACACTGAATGAAAGAACTGGCAATGGTCCATGCTATCATTACACTCAATCAGTTAGGTCCGACCTAGGGATCCCCATCTTTGTCTCACCCATTGTAAGCACACTGTACTGGGGGACCTATTCTGGCCTGGAATACCCACAGGGAGACAGGCATGAGGAATCAGGGACCTGTTCTGGCCTGGAATACCCACAGGGAGACAAGCATGAGGAATCAGGGACCTATTCTGGCCTGGAATACCCACAGAGAGACAGGCATGAGGAATCAGGGACCTGTTCTGGCCTGGAATACCCACAGGGAGACAAGCATGAGGTACTGGAGACCTATTCTGGCCTGGAATACCCACAGGGAGACAAGCATGAGGTACTGGGGACCTATTCTGGCCAGGAATACGCACAGGGAGACAAGCATGAGGTACTGGGGACCTATTCTGGCCTGGAATACCCACAGGGAGACAGGCATGAGGAATCAGGGACTTGTTCTGGCCTGGAATACCCACAGGGAGACAAGCATGAGGTACTGGGACCTGTTCTGGCCTGGAATACCCACAGGGAGACAAGCATAAGGTACTGGAGACCTGTTCTGGCCTGGAATACCCACAGGAAGACAAGCATGAGGTACTGGGGACCTATTCTGGCCTGGAATACCCACAGGCAGACAAGCATGAGGTACTGGGGACCTATTCTGGCCTGGAATACCCACAGGGAGATAGGCATGAGGAATCAGGGACTTGTTCTGGCCTGGAATACCCACAGGGAGACAAGCATGAGGTACTGGGACCTGTTCTGGCCTGGAATACCCACAGGGAGACAAGCATGAGGAATCAGGGACCTATTCTGGCCTGGAATACCCACAGGGAGACAAGCATGAGGTACTGGGACCTGTTCTGGCCTGGAATACCCACAGGGAGACAAGCATGAGGAATCAGGGACCTATTCTGGCCTGGAATACCCACAGGGAGACAAGCATGAGGTACTGGGACCTGTTCTGGCCTGGAATACTCATAGGGAGACAAGCATGAGGAATCAGGGACCTATTCTGGCCTGGAATACCCACAGGGAGACAAGCATGAGGTACTGGGACCTGTTCTGGCCTGGAATACCCACAGGGAGACAAGCATGAGGAACTGGGGACCTATTCTGGCCTGGAATACCCACAGGGAGACAAGCATGAGGTACTGGGACCTATTCTGGCCTGGAATACCCACAGGGAGACAAGCATGAGGAACCGGGGACCTATTCTGGCCTGGAATACCCACAGGGAGACAAGCATGAGGTACTGGGGACCTATTCTGATCTGAAGTCCCCACAGTGAGGTGTTTGTTAGTAAGGAGTGTGGTACTGGGGACCTATTCTGACCTGGTATATCCACTTGGACACAAGTATGCAAACCAGCCGACACTGGTATTTTGGCACTATTTTCACTAGATATTAGTCACAGTAAGTAGACTAGTACAAGCTGATCTAAGTGATCTTCCTTGACCATCAGAATTTTTACTAGACACAGGCTTCAGGCTAGTGGATATAGTCGCAGACTGAGCGTGAGATGCTGGGGACCTACTCTCACCTAGGATGCACTGAACTGATGGTGACACTGGAGACAAATGATGACAGTAATAGGTGTGTATACCAACAAGGGCAGATCCAGCATATTTAAAAAGGAGGGGTCCAAAATATTATCCTCTCTGAGATAATTTTACTGCCTACAACCTACTACATTTGGACCCCCTTTTGGATCCGCCAGTGACCAAAATAAGATATGATTTGTTTAAGAATCAGAGATCTAAACATTAATTTCAGCCATAAAATATAGAAAATAAATTCATTAAAGACAATATTCCCATCACTGTTACCAATCTCATTACCAAACCCTTCTACTCTGACACAATACCCCGTGAACCATAGAGAACTTGGACTGCCCAATTTAAATGAAGGTGTGTGATATGGGTACACCTTTTCATTTCAAGGTGTTGTTTACCCACAACATACACAGCCTAGTCTTTTATACTTTCCATTTGGAACTGCCATCTCATCTTCAATTTTGATATACAGAATTTAGAAACATTGCTCTGAATGCTTTGCCTGCTCAAAAGCAACATTTAGATTCCTAAATTCTGATTATGCTGATTGACTGATTATTAGAACAGACGGTCAATCCAATGCCACCTAATATGGTCATATTTGTCAGAACTTCACCCTGAGAGGCAAAAAGAACTGATTAAAGATTGTTTCTATTTTTCATGATGACTTAGTGTGACAGATGAAGTATAAAGTCATGTAAAGTGTTTCCGGAAGTCACTCATGTTTCAGTCAGCTGCGGTTATAGTCTCAGTTTCAAAAACTCCCTACACACCATCCCATAGAACATCTTCCTCCATCAGTGTGGTGACTGCAGCATGTTGGGGAGCATATCTGACTGCTATCAGTCTATGGTTGAGAAGGTAACATCTTTCCGTCACAAGTTATATTTTTGTATCTTACTTATAATGAATCATTTAGGCATCTGAGCACATACAACAAGAAACTGTGTACTTGACATAGCCTTGCTCTAAGTCTATACTGAATAATCTGTCTATTGATGTGTAGTATGTCTATCCTTATAATAGGCAAGTTTAGATAAGCCTACAGACTGAGGACGCCAGTCATTTTTAGGGACAACTTGTTCTTATTGTTTATATAATCAGGGAATTATGATATAAAATAATACTCATTTCCTTAGAGACTTGGGCAAGTCTATACTGGACTGAGATAACAGTACTTATCATTTCCTTGTGGTTTTCTGACAACGGTATTTATAAATGAGTGAACCACGATAAATTGTCATTAGGCCTGGCCAAAAACCAACATCCACTCTACTGGTAATTATATCTCATCACAATTAATCAGGGCATCCATTTATCCTCAAGTCAACAGGTCTTATGAGGAAATCCAGTAATTGATATTTCTGTGACATATTTAACGCAGGGAGGCTGTAGCGTTACGCAATGCCTGCCATGGTGTGATGTATACCTGATATATGTTACATATGTGATACAAGGTATTATCCACCAGTCCTCTGACTCAGACATACATGATACCCACAACAAGTGTCAAGGGTAAAAACAAGACTTATTTCAGTTTAAATCATTTAAACAAATCAAGCTGTAGAACGTACATTAGAATTCACCCATATTTCAATAGTGATAAGAAATGCAACAAAAGGTCCCAGATTTTATTCAATCTCTCAGTATTAGTTCAAACAGGGAATACCCCATCTTCCCAAATACCTCACATGCTTCATGGCAAAGATTCCCAGGACTCAGGAATAACAGAGACAAAACTCTGGAATATATGTGACAGACCTGAAGATGTTTTGCTTTTAGCCACACTCAGCAATATTTCAGCTCTATGCCAGCAGCATGTAAATACTCACGTATGGGCCAGACAATCAGATTGATATTATGAGCAATGATCCATGTCATTAGGGTACGCTGACACGCCATCAAACAGGTCAACGAGCCTGACCACCCAAGACTTTAAGTTGCCTCTTGTGACCAGCATTTTCTAACTTGGAAACACCAGGGGAGCTGAAGATGTAGGGGGGAGATTGGCTAGTGCTTGTCTTACCTCCTCATTCTTCCCTCGGTGAGCCATGGTCTGTCAGCTTGTGCAGTCTGAAACACAGAGTGAGTGAGTGAGTAAGTGAATGTGGTTTCACGCCACTATTGGCAATATTCTATCAATATAACACAAGACAGGGGCTTCACACATATGATGTTGGGAATAAATCCTAGCCTTCAGCGTGACAAGCGATAGCTTTAACCACGAGGCTATCCCACAGCCCTGGAGACAATATATCTGCAACTTCTATAAGACATTCATGGAATAATCTCACGTTGACAATAGTTAACATGTCCATACATATTTCTTACAGCTCCCACATACTAGTGTCGGCAACTGGTTCCAATGAAAAAAATTATCATTGTTTGAAAAATGATCAGTTATGAATGAGAAAAACAACAACATTAAACCATTCTTTCTCTGTATCGTTCGTGTAACTGACTTGTTTTTAATGTACTATGCAACACAAACACACTGACTAGGAACACTACGACTTATCATGTTATCATCCCAATTATTGAATAGATGACTGATCATCTTTGTGATGTTAATGCCAACCCATTGTTGCATCATTGTCCCCTGTCCTGGGCAAAGGGTAGGTCAAAACATTGCCTTCTGAATGAGTGTGAGAATTGGTTTTAATGTCGCCAGCATAATTCCAGTTATACAGTGGGAGGAAAGCCCGAAGTGATGCAGGATTCAAACATTTACCACTTCACTGAAACCCACAAGCATGGCTATGGTGCAGACAAACCTAGAAACATAATTAGGGTAAACCAGGATTCGAACCCAGCATCATTAGTTTCTGGTGTGCCCAAGGGATGCAACTCAGCGCCTTAGATGACTGGGCCACCTGTGCACCCTGTAAGGTTCAGGTTTAGTTCCTGTGTACAATAGTACAGCAATATCATTGTTTCAGGTAAGGATCAGACAAACCAGGGATGACTGCAGTGACAGGATGTTTTGATGATGCGGCTGGCAATACATATCAAGCCACCCTGTACAATCTAGCAGTTGATCCTCTCTAATCAATCACATATGAGGAAAGGGGAGGTGATTTGAGGTGAGTTGAGGTGGACTGTGATTTAAGGTCAAGACTATTGAACTTATATACTGACATATGTGTGTTGTATATGTCTGTGTGTGTGTGTGTGCTGTGTGTTGTGTGTTGGTGTGTGTTGTTTGTGTGTGTTGTGTGCGTTGTGAGCATGTGTGTTTTTTGAGTGCGTGTGTCTGTGTGTGAGTGTTGTGTGCATGTGTGTTTTTTGAGTGCGTGTGTGTTGTGTTGTGTGTTTGTGTGTGAGTGTTGTGTGCATGTGTGTTTTTTGAGTATGTGTGTGTTATTTGTGTGTGTGTGTGTTGTGGTAAGTGTATTGTATATGTTGTGTGTGTGCTTTGTGCGTGGCACACTGATAAAAAGAAAGATGTCCAGTTAAATATTTACACCTCAACCAGATGAGCCATCTTAGATGATACTGAGGCAAATACAAAAACTAAAGGATCTTCTCACTGGATAATACATACCATGAATAAGTTGTCACTTTCTATGACGTCAAAAACATGTCAACCACTATACAGGATGAAAAGTTCAGGTACTATATGATACTGTCTGTCCAAGTGATACATAGATGGCGATACTTGTGTCCTGGGGGACAATAATCACGACACATATCTGTGGCAATCTGCGGTGTCAGAATGACTGTGGACTTTCGTTCCCAACTTCCCAAGTGTCAGACAGTGTTTACTACAGCAACCGTACCCCAGACAAACCTCCCCGACACTCCACGCCTTCACTTGGTATACCTAATGAAGTGATTGACATGGAAAACCAAACACGGATACAGTTAATTAGAATATTCTCCAACAAGAGCACACTTAACACAACCAGGGAGACAGTGCCTCACCGTACAACATCTGAATTTGTCAAACGTGTGTCAACACTGTATTTTGCAAATGAGCAGTTCTTGCGCATAATTCAACCTACGTTCTTTCACAAAAAAACTAAAAAGAATTTGGAGCAAATGTAAGCGTTGTACGATGTAGACACACTTCCTACTTGAGATCGACCAGGTTGTATCTTCCTGATTCAAGCTTTGTCTACAGTCCTAACACATACAAGCCATCACAAGTTAACAGCTGGATCAATAGCTGATACACAACACTGTTTACTTTTGTTTGGTGCAATAAATTACAGGTTGATCAATCTCCCAACTACAGCCACAATCTGTACACCTGTCATGCACTGAATATACTGGTACACACTTGTTCCAGGAAATCAGGCCAACACAAACATGTTCACTAAAATTTGCTGCAGACTTGAATAGGGCTGAATATCGGCCTCTGAGCACATCTAGATGTATCTCTGAATCCATTTCTTATGACAATAACAACGAAGATGAGAAAGGTGATGTCCCCATGAAAGATGACTGCCCAGATGTACAAGGACATCAGCTGAGTTCTACTTACAGTGTCATTCCTGACACACAGCAAGGTAACACCATCCTACATAGTTTTATTGCCAGCTGCAATGTTATCCAGTAGTATTTATGATGCTCAGCTGTACACAGTCTATAGGAGCAGGAAAGTAGCAGGAAAGTAGCATACTATCGCACTCCAGCACTCAACATGTGCTTGGCAGAACTATTACGATGTCCATTGGGCATACAAGTACAACTACGATTGCTATTTAATGTCTTTAATATCCCATAATTCCACATGATCTTAAGAAATATCCTTTCCCTAAAGTAGCTATTGAATTGATAAGTATACTTGATGATCATTTGTATCGTATTATGAGTCACCACATGTGTATAGTATTAACTCTGTAAAAACTACAGGATCAGGTGAATGAAAAGCAGATAACAAACGTGGTCATTGAAAATGTGAAATTCGCAATAAAACACCACCAAACACGATGACCAACTGTACTAGCTGCATGCAAGGCATTGTCTCATTAAGACATTTAAATAACGGTTTGTAATTGTCTCGTAAAATAAGCCTGAAAATAGCAATCAGTTGTATTGTTTCTCCCCGATCTGCCGGTGATTCAGTTAAAGAATACCCAATATCATTAATCAAGAATCAATGTAAGCAATGTATCCGGGGCAGTGTTTGAAATAAACAAAGTTGCCAGGCTGTCGTCAGGACCCACAGACATTAGAAGCTGCACAGCCTGACTAACCTCATCCGGCCTTCATTTAGAGAACTGCAGCTTGTTGTGACAAATACATTGTCCATGGATTTACTGCAGGCCCTGAGGACCCATGTGAAACTGCAGGCCCAACACGAGATGTACCTGTCACGGAAATACAGGCAGGCATTAGGGGGCTGCGGGCTTCAAAGCAATATGTCTGTTTGAATAAAAAAACTTGGGAGATTGGATGTTACACTTATATCGGACATTTCTATCCTCGGAAATAAAGCAACAAAACCCTTTCCATATCCAATAGAAATTTCTGCATAAAGCAGAGTCGATTGTACGATTCCGACTATAACATGAGCATGTGTTTATGAATCACTATCAAATAGTAATGATACCAGGTGGCACCATCACAAATACATGCAAAGGCAAGTCAATTGTTCACCTGAAAAAAACATGGGAACATATGGTACAAGTCAAAATAGGGAATTGCATTGGACATTATTTGTGTCATTGATGCATCAAATTTGGAAATGTCTTCCACATGAATAGCATAAAACTTTTTGAAAGCTTTACTGAAGCTCAAAGTTTGTAGTTTCAATAGTTGAACTCCAATCCATAATTATAATAAGTTTTCTGAGCATGTACAATGACAGGACATCAGTAAACTGTGTGGAATTACAGTGAACATCGCCACCAGACGGGGAGCCACTAAAATCATGACTGAGCCCCCCTGGACTAGGAACTAGATAACCGCAGGTAAAACACTGACAGGGCTTCGGGACGGGATTGATGTCAGATCACTGCACTTCTATAGCAGTGTGTAAGTGTGTGTGTGGCTGCTTGTACCAGTCGGACTAAAGCAACATGCCTCTTTATGCCTTGTCCCCTTATCTTTCACCCTTGAGCTAAGGGACACAACTCCTACACACGCTGGCAAACAGCTCCAAAGTCAATAATGGATAACTTCATATCACATTTTCATAACACTGGATGTACTCTAGCAAAACCACCCTCATCATATGTCGTGATTCTTCATTTGAAAGGTTCGGTCTATTGTTGATCAAGTCAATCAGAGTGCCTCATCATGATCAATATCACAGATAAGTTGTAAGGCAAATAGTACATGAGGTTAAGTCTGAAATACAACTGTGTACATGACATCTGAAAGTGATATCACACAGATCCCAAATCCAAACAGTCGCATGTGAAGCTTGTGACCGAGTGACAGATGAGTGGATGACCCTGAGGCTGCAGCAAGGACGAGGATTAGTCAGCAAGACTGGCGCCATCAGGGGTGAATGTCCTCCAGAAACACTCTACAAGCTCCAATAGGTACACTCCAAAGACACAAACTGTTTGGGTACAGTACTTGGAATGTTCTGTCCCAATAAACTATGTATCCTACTTGCTCCACTCCAAATACATATATAGGTCATTTGGGGAATTTCCAATTTCTTGCTTTTAACATGCATTTGGAAATGACAGCTGCAATATTTGTTATGTTTGTCAACAGCCAGGTGTACAGATTTTACGAGCCGATCTTTCTTCTACACCCTCGTCAGACCTTTTTTTTGGTTGTAAAATCCTTTACACTTGCAAGTGACATATGCAGAAAAATTATTATTACAAATTCACAATAAAATATGTAACTGACAGAAATATGAAAACAGAAAACTGGTAATTAATAGTATAATTAAAAGAGTCCCAAGGGTGACATCGTGACACAACCGTTAAGGAGAGCTGACCTCCTTCGCACCTCCATTGGAAACAGAAACATGAAACTTGTTCTAACTGAGTTTGTCATCCAAGGTCATTAGTGTAACATTATAGTGTTTGTACCGTATCCGAGTATGCCTCAACTGTTGTTATTTACTGAATTATAATGGTGGAAATGGGTCATTTGAAACCTCT